CTCTTTGAGGGGCACCACCGATACTGTTCGGGGCGCCACCGACACTATAAGGGGCGCCACCGGCACTGCCAGGAGCACTTTGACCGGCGTTACTATCACATTTAAGGGCGCCGTGAGCACATTGGGGGCGGCACCATGACGTGGAGGGGCGTTACGGAAGGTTTGAGGGGCGGCAACATCATTGAGGAGCGCCTCGGACACTTCAAGGGACACCAGCATTTCTTTGAGAGGCGGCACCTTGACTTTTGAGGAGACACCACCGACACTGTAAGGGGCGGCACCATCACTTTGAGGGGCGCCAAGGATGGTTTGAGAAGCGGCACCATTATGTATATGGACGGGCGCTACAGAAAGTTAGAGGGCGGCAACATTGTATTGATGACTGATGAGTTCCTCCAAAACTTTGAAGGGCGCCACTGACACTTTAAGGGGCGGCACCAGCACTTTTAGGGGCGGCAGCATCATTTTGAGGGGCGCCACCGACTCGTTGACAGGAGACACCATCACATTTAGGGGCGCCACTGGCACTTTGAGGGAGGCACCATCACATTGAGGGGCGCCACCGATACTGAAAGGGGCGGCATCATCTTCTTGAGGGGCGGCATCATCTTCTTGAGGGGCGGCATCATCTTCTTGAGGGGCGGCATCATCTTCTTGAGGGGCGGCATCATCTTCTTGAGGGGCGGCATCATCTGCTTGAGGGGCAGCTCCATCACAATGAGGGGCTATTTGGATACCTAGAGGGGCGGCACCATTACATTGGTGGGTTCCTCTGACACTTCGAAGAGCGTCACTGACGCTGTAAGGGGCGGCACTAACACTTAAGGGGCGGCAGCATCATTTTGAGGGGCGCCATCGACTCGTTAGCGGGCAGCACCATCATATTCAGGGGCGGCATCATCTTCTTGAGGGGCGGCATCATCTGCTTGAGGGGCGGCTCCATCACAATTTGGGGCTATGTGGATATCTAGAGCGGCGGCACCATTATATTGGTGGGCTCCTCCGACACTTCAAAGGGCGTCACTGACACTATTAGGGGCGGCGCCAACACTTTAAGGGGCGGCAGCATCATTTTGAGGGGCGCCACCGACTCGTTGGCGGGCAGCACCATCACATTCAGGGGCGCCACCGGCACTTTGAGGGCGGCACCATCACATTGAGGGGCGCCACCGATACTGAAAGGGGCGGCATCATCTTCTTGAGGGGCGGTATCATCACATTGAGGGGCTCCACAGATGCTTAGAAGGGCGGCACCATTACATTGAGTGGGGCTACTAACAGATTTAGGGGCGGCACTGTCACATTGAGTTGCGGGATCATCACTTTCTATAGACGGCTGGTTCACTTTAAGAGGCGGCATTATCATTTTGGAGGGCAGCAGCCTCACTATGAATGGCGGCACCTAGCCTGCATGTGCGTGCTGCATCCTAGAGGGGGCGGCAACTGGGTCGGCAAACGGCTGTCACTGGGTCGGCATTCTCCGTGACTGGGTCGGCAATTGCCGACCCAGTTAACATGTTAAAATACGCCCTGGGAGCGGGGAGCCCTGATCGGGATATTGGGAGCTCTGATCCGATGGGGGCACTTGCCCCCTGCTTCCCCTCCCCCCGGGTGCAGATAGAGAATGCAATCGGCGGTGCAGAACACAACAATTGCAATCGTTCCTCCTCCCGTCGCGAGGTCGCCCATCCGACCCATATCCCATGATTGTCATTTGTCAACCCTGGGGCTCAGCTCTGGTCGGCAATGAACCGGCAAGGAAATCAGCTTTAGGTGAGTAAAAAAGTAATTACGAGTCATTAGTTGTCGTTACGTTCGTCGTTCAGTAATAGGTAACAACTATACGGTGCCAAATGTACCCGACGTACAGCTTGGAGCCGGGCGCCGCCCGGTCTCCACCAGTGACGTCACGCTAATGCTTAGCGACCGGTCCATTGGAAATCGCGGGATGATTATACCTCTCTTATACGGCCTTGGTTTCAATGGCCGGGAATCCCCGGAAGGGCGGGCGCCGATTCCGCCCGGGTCAGCCAACATCCAGGCTCGCACGTCCGCCTCGGCTCCGACAGGTCCAGCACGGCGACTTCGCGAATGTGAATCATGAATAGGTGGTGGGCGGCGGATGGTGCCACAGGGGAGGGGGAGCGGAGGGGATTAAAGGTGACGCTTATGTTGCTTGAGATAACTCGCCTCGCCTCCCTGGGTTCCGCCCAGGTCCAGTGATAATCTTCTCCAGCTTTAGCTAAAGTCTTATATTTGATTTTTTTTTTATCAATACAAAGTATTATTGGATCTGAGGGCAGGGCAAGGGACAGGACTAGATATGCACAATTTTCCCGAAATCCGGGCCCAGCACCGAACCGGCAGCAGCATCGAACGGGTCCTTAACCCGTGCCCTGATGGGGGGCATTTTGCCCCCCCCCTGTGGTTTTCCTTAAATAGCGAGAAAACGGCGACGCGCAGCGCCGCCAAATTTTGGGTACCTTACCGGGCATCAATTTGACACCTTCACACAAAATTTCAAGTCACAGGTTACCTCAGGTCAGGAGTTATTGAGGTCAAGCTGAGGTCATGTTCGAGTAAAAATGAGCAAAAAACATGACATCTTGAAACGCTCACCAATTCTACAGTTAACAAGCAATTTTAAAGTTCTTTATGTGGTTGTGTAGACAAAAAAAAAAACAACGCTACAAAACTGCTATCTCGGATTTTCGAAATTTTTGGATTTTGACCCCCAAAGATAAAAAATGATTTTTTTTAGAAAAACTAAAAAAAAAATTCCAAACTTTTTCGAATTTCGAAAAAAAAACGGATTATATGTGATAGTCCCTGCGCTCCTCGCTATACATACTAAATTTTAGATCGATTCCTCTTTGGCCAAGCTATAGCGAAAAAACTGTTAAAAATTGATGACGTCAAATTTTTGAACTCAATTTTTAGCAATTCTAGACCTCGTAGCGTAAAACGGAGACCACCATTGAACTCCCCGTGACGACCTGCATCGAATCGATAACCATTTTATGCAAAAATATCAACTTTGAAATTTGACATTTTTTTTACCTGAACTTGACCTGACCTTGACCTGACCTTCACCAAAACATATTCTCAACTGACCCCAAGGGCTGCCTGTCCCACATAATCGCATTTGGCATATAAAATGGACCATAAAACATGCATCACATGATATTTTTAATTTGTGACCCTGTGACCTGACCTCTGTGACCTGACCTGGTATCAGTGACCTCAAATAGCAAAATATGTGTTTGACGAACATTTCCCCATCGATGATTTTCAATGAAATGCATTTTTTTCTACTTTACAACGCATTTCTTGAAATGCCTGTAAACGGTGAAAATTCGACCTTTGACCTGACCTGTGACGTCATCGGTTTGACCGAGGTCAATGAAATTGGGTCACAATGTAGTTCCCCGTTGGGGCTATCCAACGCTGTTTGCCGCTTGTCGCTACGTTGCGTGGTTCTGGAGATCTTAGGGGGGGGGGGGGGGCCAAAATGCCCCCCCCCCCATCAGACCGCGTTGCTCGGCAGACCCCATCAGGGCGCGGGTTAAGACGGGAAGACAACAAGGTATCGGGTTTGAGGGCACTGGGCAGGGCAGAGAGGGTCACAGGGCCTGAATGCAGAGCAGGGCGCAGGGCCTGAAGGAAGGGCAGGGCAAGGTACAAGACATTAGGACAGGGCACTGGGCAGGTCGCATATCCTAGGGGTAGGTATAGTAGGGCGGACATAGCAATGTGTACGACCCTAGGAGAGGGCAGGGCACAAGGACTGGAGAGCGCATGTATGTGCTTAGGTGCATAGTAAATCAGGGCACGAAGCAATCAGAAAGGCAACATCTGTTGCACAGTAAAAGACCGAGGCATGCTAATTATTTTTGCTTGCACTTTTCCGCTGAAACCGTGACATTTCAGTGTGGGACGCAGTGGTCCAAATTTCGCGAGGGCTACGTCCCAAAGGCAGGGGGCTGCGTCCCAAAATGGGACGCAGTCAGTATGTTAAAATATGCCCTGCGCTGACGTCACACATTCAGAGGGGTATTCCTAAGCATGCCCCTCTGAATCAAAATGCTGCAATTTTGAAATTCAATATTTCCGATTTAAGGCATTTCTCGATGTTGTGAGTGCCGAAACCGGTAATTGTGAGCCAGGGACCCCATTTTGGCTATCTCAACTCAAAAGTCTAATGTTAAGGTGGGAGGGTCCCTTTAATCTCTTTCTATGTTTATAATCTGATCTGAAGTTTTCAGTTGTCTAATGTATCGAACTGGTTTTTTACCTTCAGTCACAAGTAAAAATATGCTACCAAATGTTTCGACCTTGAAAATGGAAGCACTGTTTGGCGGCGAACGACGCGCAAATAAGACGTCTGATGAACCGCGCAAGACGCGTGGCTTGGGCTTGTATGCTGAGAACATGCTGCGAAGTTTGGAAGTGTATTTGCGGGTCGCTAACTTTTTAAATTTTTGCGCACTGGGTGTGGTGTGAAGCATGAGATAGATGAGATGATCGATTTTCGGATCTATGAGATGCAAGAAGTTGCGTTCTTTTTGTAAATAGTAAACGAACTTTTTGTTCAACTTCTAGATGGGCTCCAAAATGATGCATGAACGGAAACAAGTAAGCCGGATCAAAAGCGGTTTTAAATTTAAATAGGTGATTTTATGCTGTAACTGTAGTCGGCAGAAGCTTCAAGTTGGTTACTTTATTATTTCAATGCCAATATTACCTGCCTATGACGATTCCGAATCGATGAGCTTTGGAACAGTGCCTACCCATTTACCATTTCACACCCAGACCGCCATCCACTCCTCGTCTTCCCGTGACAAGGCCAATACCACCCCGCGTACTTACCTTAGCAGCCAGTCGGCACCCGCCTCCAACCGGCCGGTCCGGTCCCACGGGCCCGGCTCGCACCGTACCGCAGCCAGGCCCGCTCCACAGCCCGCGCTCCAGTAACCGGCCGCCCTGCGCCCTGTCCACAGAGCTGCGGCCGCCGCCGCGCGGCTGGCCCGACCCGCGGCGCCGCTGCCCGACCATGAGCGCCACGCCGCCGGGCACGCCCGGTACGCCGGGCACGCCGGCCGAGTCGCCGCGGCCCGAGAGACACCAGGTGCGCGTGGGCTCCGTGGAGCCCGTGTCGCCGTCGCTGGCCCGCCGGCCGGACGGCACGCCGCTGAGGGCCGAGCGCAGCCCGACGCCGAGCACGGGCCGCGTGCCGCGCACCCAGCCGAGCCCCAGCCCCAGCCCCAGCCCGAGTGTGACCGAGTTCGCGGGCGTGCCGCGTTGGGCGCACCGGGCCGAGCCGTGGGCCCCCGGAGCCGGCGCCGGAGCCGGCGACCCCCAGCACAAGAAGTCGTCACAGTTCGACGAGCATATTCATCAGCTGAGAGGTGAGTCCTGCGGCAGCGGGCTGGTGCTGTAGTCTGTACTGTGCTGTGTCGTGCCGTGTGTTGATGCTGTGATGTGCTGTGTTGTGTTGTGCTGTGCTGTGCAGCGCTGTGCTGCATGCTGTGCGATGGTGACGTGCTGTATCGGCGAGCGGATGTGATAAAGCCTCGCTTTTATCACCTGTGGTACTCCAGACGAAAATAGCGACCGACTGTATCTAAACCCCGGGACTCGGCACTCATCATGTGCACTCTTGCAAGCTGCAGTAAGCTCATGTTTGCTCTGTTGTCAGTCGGATGCTCGTATCGCTGGATTAAGCTGACACTAACCCTCGTCACCTGTCAGAAGGACCATGCCCTTCTGTATCAGAAGCTACCCGAAGACCTCTTTAAAACGCCTCTTCAGAGAATTCCCGCTCTCGTGCTTCCAGTTTCCCCTCCGCCACGGTAAGCCTTTGCAAATAATGATTGATGGGTGACATCAGCCGTGCCAATCCTGCTCCAACCCTGGTCCACGTATCCCACCCGGGACGACCAGCTTTGACCAGATACCAGCCATCAGTGATCATATATCGGCTATGTTTGACCAGATACCGCCCACTCGGACCGGATGCCGGTATCGGTGCGAGGCGTACCGTCCGTGCCAACTGCCGTGGTCGCGTGCTCGCCCCGATCGCGCGCTGCTATTGCCGGGTGGCCCGGAACTCGCTGAAATGCTGGCTGATGAGGCGTGGCATTCGTCACATCAAGGCCACAGCCAGTGTTTATTGCTGAATAGCCTCACGCCCGCCCGGCTTATGGGTGAACTGACACGTCAGGTAGCCCATCCGAGAGAGGCTAGCTTGGAGGATGTGGTGTTCAGAGGCTGGGGATTATTGAATATGCTGTCAGCCTTCTGCAGAAGATGGTGAGATTTGAGGGATGAAGTCACCGAGCTGTATGGAGGCCCGCATCTATTGGTGGTGACGTCATTGACTGGACTGGCGGCCATCAGCTGATCGCACCACCCACGGCGGCGGCGGGGGGGGGGGGGGAGGGCTCGAGGGGGCGGGGGGGGGAGGGCTCGAGGGGGCGGGGGGGGGGGGTTGATAGGCAGTCTAAGCCCGGGGATGGCCACTGTGCACTGGTCTGCCGGTTGCCGCTGAACATTATTGAACACAGGTAGACGGATACCGCCCAGTTCCCTTGGTTTCTCTCGAAATTTGAAGACTCCTAGTCACAAGCACAGCTGTTAGTGCCAGACATCGAGACGTAAGTCATGTCGGAGGCTCAAAGATGTTCCCCAATTTTGATGATGTTGCTGCTTGGCTTGTTGTGAAGTGGACACTCAATTTGGGTGATAGGTTGTTGGCAATAGCCATCCCGTTGAAACTGCTTCCTGAAATGTTCAGACCAATGTCCGATCTGTGGCCATTTAAATCTGAAATGTGCCACTGTTTAATTTCCTCGGGCGTTGTTTAAAGTGTCTGGCGCTCTTTAATATGTTTGGTTTAGCGCATGGTCTTGGACTTTTGTCCCCAGTCCCATTGTTTGCTTTACAAAACGCTGACACAGAAGCGCATCCCGCAGACGAGAGCCGTTGAGTGGGATGGGCGGGCGGAGCTGATGGGTAGGATAGACGGGGCTGTTGGTCCAATGGTCCAGTGAGTGGTCCAATGGTCCAGCCCAGTCCAAGTGTCCACTGCCCAGTGGGCGGAGCCGTTGGGTGGGTTAGGCGGGGACTGTGAATGGATGAGCAATGGATGGTGGATAGGCGCGGCCCGGGATAGGATGGGCGGGGTAGCCCAGAGAGCTAGGTGGCTTATAGGGTTTCGAGTGGGAAATATGTTGAATGCAAATACGACTGGTCTCAAAGACAATTGTTCAGGCCATTCCGTCACAATGTTACTGGACGTTTGCTGTGGGCTAGCTGCATGACTTAGTTTCGCGACCTATAAAGAGCGGGATGACCCCTCACAGCCGACTTGTCGGAGGCTTCCAGGCTGCAGCTGTGACAGCCGTGACATCTAGCCGCCTGTCCACCCTCCAGGCGAGCTGAGTGGACGGCGCACGGCTGCGTGTCACCACCAACGAGCACAAGCACAAACTGCGAGTCGACTGCACTGCTGCACAGTGCACCGACACACACCGCTCTCCGTGGCCGAACGGCTGCACGCAGAGCTATTGTGGCGGTCGCTGCGGCGGATGCTCCTATAAACTCTGAGGACGCTGCGGCGGTCACCGGCCATCGAGCAACCCTTCGATGGTGACCAGAGGAGGGTGACGTCATCCATTCAATGACGTCACTCGTCGGGTGTGTCATGTGGCGTCACCTGGTGATGTGACAGCCACGTGGGCGAGGTTCTGGTCGATGGCGGGCGGCGACACATCGCTGATGCTTCCATGCTCCGTGGGTTGCCGGCCGGGGCCAAGGGTCTGCGTTTGGGCGGCAAACGGCACTGTTTTCGAGTAGAATCTGTAGCCATATGAGGAGCTGTTTATGCTGACTCTAAGTCGCACCCGTGTCTTTCGGCTTTTTGCTTGGATATTGATCGTTGTTCGCTTCGGGACGCATATCTTTTGAAGGATACCAGTGGAAGCCAGTGAGGCTCAGGAACGGTTGAAGACCACAGTGGGTCGTTCGGCCAGTCTGGCGGTGCTCCCTCCGCCGCCGATATGACGGCACACCGACGCCGATTCAGAACGGATATTTGGGATATTCGGCACCTACCACACTGATCTGCTGGGTGTATGAGCTTTGAGCAGTGCTGCGCGTGGAAGTGTCTAGTGCAGTGGGTCGATCGGTAGGGAGAGCCCAGACACACCAGCGCGCATCCCACTGTCTTATCTCTGTGTTTTCTCTGGCGTCCTCCTCGTCTTACCTCGCCGTGTTGACACTACCGCTCAGCGTCGTCTCCTTTGACCATCTCGACCTTTGACCGTTGCACCGTCATGAGACGTAACGCTTTTTGGAAATCTGAGTTGTTCACTGTTGGACGGCGAGACTCCAATGCGACGGCCGGACGTTGCAGGAGACATCCAGTTGGTAACCGCCGGACTTCCTCCGTGCCGTTGTACCGGGCGGGGTGCTGGCCGCGCCGAGCGGCTCAGGGCAGGTGGCCCTGGCCGCCACCTCCCCCATTCATTCGAATGGCTGGTGGTTTCTCAGCCGGAACCATGCGTTTTACTGAGCCGGAACCAACACACCACACCGCCGTTCCTGCATGGTTCCATTCCCGACCCGCTCTAATGCGACAGCCAGTCAGCCTGTCTGACGCGCGGCGTAACCGGAACGCCCTGCCCCGGTAGCCGTGACGCACTCGATGCCTACTTGCTCGCGAAGCCGGAAGGGTGGGGAGCGTAGGGTAGGGGCACGCCTTATCTGTCTCAGTATCTGTCAATGCCCTTTGGACTGATCCACATCCGCAGACGATTCCTGGCGATATATGGCAGACGCCCTGCGATACACGGCTGACACCCAGGTATCATCACGACTGATACCCTCAATCGAATCAAATTGATAGGACTGGTGTGGCTTCAATTGATTCCCTAGGCTCAACGCCATCGATGCTCATACACACTACACACTACACACTACACAATCCGTAGCTGGTATCCTACGAGACACGGCCGATGCTCGTGGACGAGCGAGTGATACCCTCTGATACTCGGCTGATGCCATGTGATACCCGGCTGACACGCGGTCCGTAGCGGCGATAAGGCTCGTTTTACGGCGGTCGCCGCCGCCGGCGGTCGGTCGGAGGCGGCAGCGATTCGCCGCCCGCTCGTAAAGCCGTCATTGGCGTGGGAAGTCGACTGTAATCGCCGGCCGAGGAGCGCGGCCGATCGGCGGTCAGATTGTGGGATCGCAGCTCATTGGAGACGTTTATGTCGTTATACGGTGATGATTGTGGCCCAGTGGTGTTACGAGGATTCGCGTCCGAAAATGCGTAAACGATGCCTTTTTAGACATAGAGGTAAATTACTACCTTTAGATGCAGACATGCACTGTGCTTGTAGCAATTTTCCATGATATTATGCGTTTCGCTAAGTTTGTTTTCTTCTCGTCATGCAATCGGAATAGTTGGTTGCTGGGCGCTCCCTCTCAAACATGCGAGCGACACCAGCGGTTATTGAGGTCTTTTGGCGGTGACGCTGTGACCTGTGCAGTGTATAACGCGCGTCCTGGTTAGTCCTGTCAGTCACTAACAATTTACAGACGGCATTGAAGATCCTCCCATACCAAGTTTACTGATATCTGGGACTCGGGGGTGTCACAATGATCCGACTTTTATATTATTCTTGGTCTTTTTAGATGTCCTGCGCTATGCGCTTTGGTATACCTAACCGCGATGATGACCAAGCTCGAATGGTCTGCCTTTCGCTGATTTCAGTGACGACTTTATGCTGGTGTCTTTGCAATTGGCCAAAGCCTCACGAAGTGATGGAATATGACTATCTGTTACATTGTGTCAGGAATACAAAAAAAAAAAAAACCTTTGTCAGAAAATGATACGTATTAGGCTCCATGGAAGATGTGAAACGGAGTTTAGTGACACTGCATTATTCGTATAGGTAATTGATTTTTAATAGACTCTCCGACTCGTCCCCCCATAAATATTCGGTCAGTGGCTAGTCATTCGGGTTCCATTAATTACAACGACGACTGCGGCGATCTGGCGTACAAAAGTCCATATTGTCTTAATGGAACTCGACCACCACAATCGCGAGCTCAGCACGGTGGTCTCGGCCACTTCTGGATTGTCATTCAAAGTAAGATAAAATAAAACTGTCTGATACCATTCATCGGGGGCTTTTGGTTTGTTATGCAGTTTTAGGCAGCAGCAGTTTTAGGCTACATGAACTTAAAACATTTTCTAAAACTAGGAATGAACAGATGTCCTCTACATTCAGATTCTGTAGATGTAGATTTGCGAGCATTGATCCTGCCTCTAGATCCACCAGTGGGTACCTTCTTCCCAATGTGCCCTCTCAGAGCCCCCGAGTGCCTTCAGTACCCCAAG